CACAGGCAGGAGTTCTGTCTGGGCACAGAGAGAACTTCTCCTGCCTGTGCTCCTGCCCTCTGAAGACGCCGGTCACAGGTGCTGGAGAAACCTTAGGAAACAAAACTCCAAGACCACGGCCACACAGCCCGGAAGACCCACGCCAGCCATCGTATGCCGGCCGTGAAAGCCTTCGACAATACATCAGTTCTAAATTCCTTGATGTTTATCCCATAAGCCATCTTAGTGCAAGCCATGGCTTGGCATCATGTCTGAATCTAGCCAGTTTAAGGCAGCTTCTCTTTCTAGGGGAGTCTCGTTTCTGCACTGTGTGCTGCAGTTAGGTAATTAATTAACAGAGTAATTGCAAACAGTGCGAGATCGGCAGCTCCTGCCTCGCACCTTGTGCCAGGTAAGCCGATCCGTGGCTTCCTTTAAAAGCACCAGGCGAACGGGCTTTCGAGGCATCCCGAAGCCCCTGGAGGCTGCGCATCCCCAAGACTCACCGGGTTTCACGCGGCATTTCTTTAGCCCCCAGAGGTACCCGTAGCCACCTGTGAGAAGCTGAGACGATGCCACACAATCCTGCAAAGTGCATAATTCTTGTCATTGGTACGATGAAGTTACGGCCAAAGTGACCTCCTTGCCTCACACTCAGGAAATAAAGAGCAAGCGATGAGAAGAGGAGCAAAGGTAGGGAAGCCTGGACAGGAACGGCTTCGTAGGGGGTGGAACTCAGCTAGCGGGCTGGGGTGGCGCGCTGCGTTGGGATCTTTAGGAAAGGGACCGATGACGTGTGTGATGCGAGGAGCGTTTTTCTCCCATCCTCGTAAGGGTGAGAAACTCAGGACGGGCAGAAGGAAGGGCTCCTTCATGTAGCCAGGGTTACAAGTCGGATCAGGCTGGATCAGATCGGATGGGGTCTTTCCAGCTCAACTCTGGGGGCTTCATTTTCCCAGCAGCAGCACAGTCGAGCCTGCAGCCCTAGGACTTGCAGGGAGTTTCCCGCTGGGTGCAAGCAGAGTCTGTCCCTGTTGAACTTTCTGGGGCCAGCCAAGGTGGGCCAGTGGAGAACAGATGCTGTTGCCAAGAGTGCCAGGGTGGCCCCCAGCGTGGACGGCTTTACCCACAGAATAGGCGAGTAGGGGGCTCCCAGGGGGTCACAGCCATGAAGGGCAGCGGCTGGGGGCTACCGAACCAGCTCCCTCTGGATCTGCTCTGCTGAGAGGCTGATGAGTAGCCCTTTTCCTGTTCGCAAAACCAGGGTTGGCAAGAGAGCCCATTGCGCAAAGGTCCGAGGGCCCGGCTGGGTGCAGAGGGTGGGGAGGGAGCAGGACTTGAGGCGGGGTGCAAAACGCCACTGCCCTGCCACGGGGGGGGGGCAGTAACATTCAGGGCAGCCAGAAGCCCCAAAGAGCAAAGTACAGATACAATCAGAAGGTTTAGCATAAAATAAAACATTTTAAAACTTATTGATTGGCAAAGTCCTTGTTCTTATAGCCTGACGGCTACAGGTGGCGCTGGGGCTAGCTCCCGGCTGTCTGGGGCTGGGGGCCAGGAGGAGGAGGAGGAGGGGGCGGAATAAATCCCTCAGGCTCCTTTTGTGGGGAGGAAGCCCTCCAATTGGAGATCCTCCAGGTGCTTCCAAAACTGGCTAATCCCGCAGGATATAAATTCTCCCATCCTGAGGAGTTGGTGGCTGCTGCTGCTGCCGCCGCCACTCCTCCTTGGCTTCTTCTCTCC